GCGGATCGAGAGATATTTCATTTTCAGTGGTCACGGGTGTAGAGAGTGAAAGCTTTTATTAATAACAATTACAGGGAGGATCGAACGAAAACGATTCGCTCCTTCGGCGAAAGAGAAAAGGGCACCCGATCGTCCGACAGCGAAAGTCCCGGATGTCTCTACTACTGGTTTACACGAATGTACGCAGCCGTCGTTTGCTACGTCGTTTACCAAATTAAGTTACGCGCGACGCTCGCGTATAAATTATTCCTATAAAACGCATCAGTCATTCCTCTACTTTCTCTTATCCGCGTATGTGCGTTACGCGCGAGAAGATTTGGCCGCAGAGAGCTTCTTTTCCGCGTTTAACTCTATGGAATTAGAAATGTAAGCACATTTTAATATCATTAGAGAACTCAAAGTTACAATCGTGCATTTCGCAATATTTATCTTCCTCTTGACGAAGCTTTTACTTCGAATAAATTTTCCCATTTAGATTTTAAATTTTTAGAGAGAACGAGAATTTCATTGTACAATGGGATTCCGTTGCACGATGATCTGTCGGAATAAAGATTATGAGGAAAAATGTAAAAATTGAAAATTATTCGTGTAATCGTGTATCGTTGCATGCGAGTTCTAATGTTGAAATTACAATATCATGAAGCAAGAGGAAGCGCGTCACAACTTTGCTCATTCAGTCACGGACAATGTTACATCATCGCTTCGTATCGATCGCACGTTTTGCAAAGCACGTTCCTCACGGAATTATTTCACGAAAACGTCAACGCCGGAGGGCGCCGCTCCACCTTTTGCTTTCGTAAGGCTTTCGATTCGGAAGAACCATTACGCTTCACACGTGCAGGTCTCATCAGAGTTCAGCTTTCACCCAGTAACGCAGTACGTCGATCAGTGCTTTCCATCCGGAGTGCAAGGTCGACGTCAGCCAAAATTCCTTTTACAGCACCTTCTGGCCAAAGACTTTAATTTTCGATGTGTCAGAGATAAAAAAGAAGAAAGAATATGAGGAAGCAACGTGAGATGCTCATCTTTAACTCGTAATATTAAGTATTGAATTTTATGCGTTAAATCTGTTATATAAAATCTTTTAGAAGTCATTTTTACATACATATATAAAGATAAATTTTAAAAATAATTTTTAGAGAGAAATAAAATAACATCTCGATATTGTACTTTAATATTCTAAATTAGAAACATATCATATTCCTGTAATTTTTTATCTCGAGGAAAAGTCATTATGTTGATTGCCACACTTCCATTATCACGAAATAGCCTGAAGATTATTTTGGCTTGTCAACACATTGGCACATCACGTCCAGTTTTGGCATTTGTAAATTGATCTTACCTAATACGTTACGAGCACTATGTAAGTGTAATATTGCCTATCGTGTCGTGTGACGAAGGTGAGATCAATTTAACAGCCGAGGTCTAAAACAGGCGAATAAAATTATCTGGCTCGCGCGAGGATCAATGGGCGAGCCTTGGACGTTAACTAGGCCAATGCGATAACAAAATAGTAAGACATAGACAGAAAATAAACCGTCCTACAAACAATTTCCACTGCGGGTATTTTTCGCTCAATACATTTCGATTAATCTCTATTCACTGGCCACAGAGACATACCCTTTCAATTACGAAGATCGCGTGAACGATCAAAATTAGATCATGGCTGTCGATACGTCCAAGGTTTTACATCTTGTAAGTTTAAAATATTAATCCTTCATCTTCTTAGTGCAGAATCTTAATATTTCGAAAATTTCCTAATTTATGTTTCATATATAATAGTTTCATATACACTTATATATATTTAGTCATGTATTTGAATTTGAAGTTTACTTGTTTCATGACAAATGAAAAACTAAACATAAATGTTTATATCACAGTCCAACAATTCACATTTAAAATTTATTATTTCCTTATATTATCAATTTAAGAATTTACGACAATTTTTTTTCCTCTCCAAAAATTTACATTTAAAATTAAATTAAATTAAATTTATATTTAAATTTATATTTATTATTTCTTTATGTTATCAGTTAACAATTTACGATTAATTAATTTTTTTCCGTTAAAATGCAAGATTTTTATTTATTAAATATGAAAGGTTACGCACGAATCGCATTCGACGTACTTACACAAAGTATTCGTAACAGATACTCTTTGCTCAGAAAGGCAATGCTCGTCTAATCGACCTCGCAGCATCTCGCGAGTCACCGTGGCTACAAATTTGGCGAGACTTTCGCGCGTCAGCGGTGACCAGACTCTTCGAGCACATATCCGTTCGTGTACCGAACGCGTACGCGTAAAACGCGCTTTCTCCCCATCTAAGGACATTTACTTGAAAAATCCTCACGCCAGTTTTTTCCGCGGCCCGTTTCGCGCACGGTCGCCAGATAAATTTTCTATTTATTAAACATACAATCGCGCGTAACGATTTGCGCTGGCTTCCGGTGAGAGCTCGCAGCACTTGTCGCAGCTGCAAGCACGCGTATACCCGAGCCCTTTATGGACGTGAAAGTCGTCGATCAACGTTCACAGTACCGCGGTATGATCTAGCGATTATTTTTCTAACCATCAACCGCACTTGATCCCAATGACACAAGGATAATCCTTGCTTGTCAGGATTATATTCGAACGGAAGCGTCATGTTCTCAAACCTATCGAAAAATAAAATCGTAGAAATAAAAAATCGATAATTTTAAAGAAATAAATAAATTTTTTTATTTTAGATTTTAGATTATTTAAGATGATAAATTTTCTTATCACTTTGGCAAAGAGACTGCAAATGAAAAATTTATCTTGAAATTATCGTTTCGGGATACACACCGCATTACAAATTGATCTGTCCGTCACCGAGGCAACTCCACCGAAAGTTAATATCTTCCTACAGAAAAATTGGTACACCGAACGACCGAATAATAGCCTGGCTTTCGGTCCGTCACGCGCGATAGAGCAAACTCCAAGGAGCTTATCGATGGATTGCAACCAGCCGGTCGATCCATTACTCACCGCTTTTCAAAACCGAGATCGATACGCGATATGATACACAAATCAATGTCGAAACTCAACATCTACAGAGACACGATCGATTTGCCATGATATCATCTCTTTTTGGCGGCGTCGGTACACACATTCTACACGTGTACATATCCGAGCGATTCTCCTTTGGAGTGGATCGTACGAACCGATCCGCGATCTACGATCTTCGATTGGCCGAGCCGGATCATATAATTGATTTAGGCTTTCATCGAAACGCTTTTAATTCTGATGCGATGCGCATTTCTTCGCAGAGTTACGGAATGAATGCTTTCTGCTCTCGAGAGCGGCCCAATAATACTCCCTCCCGGTAATTCGCCTAGATTGATCTTTACGCTCACTACCGGTTCGTAGATTTGCCGAATTTATTTCGGATCGGCCGAATTTAATTCACGTGTCCGCGTGACGATAAAATCGAGACGATATAATTGTGGGCCTTCGAATGACCGCGACTGCAATGCGCACGTGAGATAAAATTCATACGGGAACTTAAAGCAATGAAAGTAAACTTTTTATAATTTATTAAAGTTATAATATCTATCAGATAAATTTTTATCTCTCAAATCCAAATAATTGAAAATAATATCGAGAGCTATCTCTATATTACAATAATAATAATAATATTCGCGATAATAAATAACATGAGAAACAATATAATTGTGGACCATCGCTCAGATGATCACATGACTGCGATTGCATGCACACGTGAGATAAAATTCATACGGGAGCTTAAAGTAATGAAAAAACTTTTTATAATTTATTGAAGTTATGATACCTATTAGATAGATTTTTATCTCTTAAAACAACCCAATTAATTGAAAGTAATATCGAGAGCTGTCTCTATATTATAATAATAATAATATTATCGCGGTAATAAATATGAGAAATTTTATAGGTTTCAAATTACTACGTGCGTCGCTATTCACGATCAGACATCGTTACGATAAGATTCAATTGCGTATCCTGCCCGCGCTTTCCAAAGTAATTAACTGCAGGTTTATCCCCGTCACGTGACAACTGTTAATTGCTATTCCGTTCGTTTGTTCACTCTTCCACGAACGGTCGTAAGAATAGTACGAATGCCTCCGTCCAGTGCATAGCAATGACCATATGTGCGAACATGTCATAAAAGCCATAATGTATGGCTCAAATATCGACATGTCATAGATTACCAAGCAAGAATATCAATGAGAATAGCTAACGTAGACGGCATAAGCCTTTTATCGACATGTTTAATTAATAGTCTAGTCATATCTAGTTTTCTCATTCAAACCTTAAAATCTAATATTTTATCCATTTCATCCTAATCATAATGCGTTATTTATTTTGTTTATATTTATAGTAATTGAATTTAATAAATAGTAATTTTATTTAAATCTAAGTAAAAAAATAAATAAACATTTATAATTTTAGTTTCGTGAAAAGAGTGGACTGATATGTAAAACAAAGAAAGAATACAGAAACTGATAATATCAGAAATCTGCAGGCAATATCGCTAAGAAAACTTTTGTAAAACGTGACATTCGAATCGTTTCGTAATCATAGAATTCTAAGAAACGTTCAGCTACCCTTGTCTCGAGTATCTCTTCTAACTGACCCCGGCCCTAATCTGACATTTCCGTCGTGAGATCTCTTCTAGATTTCATCGTCTATTGAGAAATTCTCAGGGGAGTGCTCGGAAGACGCGGTGAGAATTTCAAGAAACACACAAATAGAAAGGAAAGAAAAATAAATTTACTGAAAAACAGGATAAAAATTAACACAATCAAATTTGTGCAAATCTCCTTGGAATGCGAGTTACGCGAAATGCAAAGTCAACTTTCAACATATTTAATTAATTATTAATTATATTCAATAGAAATAAAAAATCGGGTCTAATTTCAACGAGATTAATCGGGCTCTTATCGAATATATCCTTATTGCATTTGTTCCTCATGTATTCTTCGAATAATTTGACGGGTACTCACACTTTTGCCGTGGCTTGTACTGTGATGCGTGTGATGAGTATCGAGTTTCATATTGGCGCAACGATTGAGAGCGTGCAGACGCCGGAAAAGGCTCTGCAGCGAGTCGGCCTCGAGGAAGGGGTGGTCCTTGGCTACGCCGGAAACGTCAATTGGGAATTGATAGTCTGAAACACGAAAAACAGAGGATCGTCAATTTTCATTTCGCATACTTCGATTATCGCCCGAGATAGGTATTGCGCTTACGCGCGTATTTACGTAAACGAAAAGTGCACCGCGGCGATATTTGATAACGTCAAAAACATCCGGCATATCGGCCGCGATTTGTTTGTTGCGAAGCCACATTCAGGGTCGTTCGGTTGTCGAATGCACTAAACGCACACAGGTATGCTCCCTGAATGAGAGCAAATCCGTCCGTTTAGTCCACAGGCATTAATCTCCTCGTGATTTCGAGAATGGTCCATCATGTTGGCTGTGCCGTTGTCATACGGCTTCATTCTTCCCGCATTTCTTTTTTGCACAACAGCCATTTACATCGGAATAAAGGAACGCGCTGCATTTTTATACAGTTCGTTATGTCGATTGGATCTCATTTGAAATACTTCTCTATTACTTATTACTTTCCTATATTTTTTTGTAAATTTAATAAAAACTAACAGTTTTTGTAATATAAAATCTTTCTTTGCACTCCACTTTATCACGAGAAAATAAAGAGAATTATATAAAAGTTTAAATGTAAAAATATCATAAAAATTACTAAAACTTTCCGTAACCCCGTGGCTATTCTTTATTGCGCACGAAAACTGTTAAATGTCATCGTCATATGGCTTCGAAGGATGAATATTATGAACATTATTATTATTAACACAAACGACCGTCGCAGCCGTACAACGATCATATAACAATTTTCATTTGTAATAAAAATTATATATATAAAAATATATATAAAATTATATATAAAAATTAAGTCATTTCACATTTCATAAAGTCACGTAATTCATTTTGCATATGGCAAAGCTGTCACAATAACAAACTCTAGGAAAATAAAATGTCATCGCTATTTTTTATCACTTTTAAAATTGAACTTTTTGATAGTAGATTTTTTTGCCTCGTTACGTTATTTCTTCTAGAATTTCTTTATAAATACATTGTGGTGGTCACGCATAAAGGTTCGGAAGATTTCTGTCACGACTTGCGCAATGCTGGCCTAGATCTCCTAAACCAGATCTTGGATCTATGATCTTTAACCGGGATTTCAGAATCGACTCATCTCAAAGTAGAACGATCCTTTAACGACGAACGTTTCAGCGTCAAAAATCATTTCGCCAAAAAAATATATATATATATCTTATGTCAAAAATATAACTATTTTATCTGATTTATTTAACCGCCAAGATGACAAGTAGAGATGTGTCGTAAAATTCCTTTATAGAAATTAAGGTTTCTCGTAAACAAGCTTGGTAATTAAAACAAATTCCGTCTACTGTGAGAATTATAAGCGCGCGTATATATCAGCCACGTTTATTTTCATTTATTAAAGCGTACGTAAAGATGATTAACGACTCTAAATAATCTCTGATGTTACTTGATAATGGATAAATTAACCAGTTATCTGCTCTATGTAACATTATATACTCCGCTTCTTCTTTCAAACGCTTCCTACGGGCATCTGTATTTTCTAATCGTTAACATTTTCTGACAAGTTTTCGCAACATCGTGCTTATGGGAATAAATGCTGAAGTGAATATTAACAACTATAAATTATCTTCGTAACAATTTCCATCTTCGATTTATATTATTATTCATTGCGTACACGATTTGACACGCGTGTCGTATGCAAATTGTATTGTTATGTAAACTTTCTACCACTAGAAAATTCATTTTTAAGTTACATAAAAGTTGATATATATGTATATATTGAACGATACGTCATGGCAAATAATTTCGCATTCTAATAAAATGTATCAATGAAAATATAGAACGACTCTTGTGTCAATGTTATTTTATGAAGAATGATTTGATTCATGTGTGCTGCATGTGTGCGTATCTTTATATTATATTAT